AAAAAAAAAAAAAAAAAAACAATTCTATTTGACGTTGCCTATACATGAGATTCTGGGACGCATTGCGAACCTTGGGAACCTCCTGATCAGCTCTCTGCCCCAGAGCTATGATGGGTTTCAGTGCAGCTCTGTAAGGCTGTGTTGTTGTTGCAGCTTTCTTCGCGCCAAAATGTACCCCTAATTTTGGGAAACCCTAAACCTAAGCCCGATATAACCCGTATAAAATCGTTATATAACCCCTATAATACCTCTTAAAGGTACCCCTAGTTTCGGGAAGCCTTCAGACAACTAGGCAGGCCAGGAAAGCAAGGAGGCTGCAGGGAAGTAAAGAATCACGGTGTGGAGAAAAGGCAAAAGTGGGAGCTTCCAAAAGTTGGAGTCTTTTGAGGAGTCCTTAAACCTTAAACCCAAACCCTGTTATGAGGGTTAGAAATTTTAGTATTCGAGGTAGCTGGGGCCCCAACCGCGTCCCTGGAATCCCCAAGCAGCCTCGCGGGCTGCGTCCTTTTTCTGCCAGTCGAGATGGTTGAGGGTCTAGCGTTTAGGGGTCTAGGGTTCAGGGTTGTCGCTTGGCCTCAATGAACCCGGTTTGGAGTTTTAGGACGTAGCTTCTGGGAGCGGGGGACCGTGCTCGACTCCCCATTTGCTGAACCTCCCGGTCTTTGAGGTATCAGAGCCAGAGCCCTTGCCCATCGAATTCTTCGGGCACAGAGTCTCAACTGAATTTCAGAAGCTGCGGCGTAGGTTGTGCCCTACATAGTATCCTCCTCGAAGCCTAGTATGAATCCTGCATCCCTCTTTCCCTAAACTTTAAGGATTTGCAGGCCAAGTCGCGCAGCCAAAAGGGTCCAAGGTAGAATGCCCAAATGAGCGCTGAAGCACTTTCCTTTCCAGTGCGAGCTTGCTGATAAAGTGGACCGTAGGTTTGCGTGTCTCGCAGGTACTCTGCACATGAGATAGACCTGCACTACGTCTCTACAAGTAAGACAAGGGATGTGCTCTTTATGCTGACCTTACTTGCGGGTTGGCAGAAGTAAGTGGGGCCGAAGTGGAGGAACGGATCCCATGGCAGCCCCATATAACCCCGTGAACAATGATGGTTGTCATGTTCTTTTCCACGGGAGCCAGGGGGTATGGGGGGGGGGAGGGATGCAAGGCTTAATTAGTTTTAAGGCAGTAGACTCAGCAGACTTGCTGCCACGCAGCCGTTCTCCAAAACAAGCTCGAACAAACTAGGTCAAAATCAATCTAACATAGCATGGCAGAAATAACAACAAAATAAACCCGAACTAAGCCCAGTATAAGGCTTATTTTGAAGCCTGTTTCAAGTTTAGTACTGAATGAAAATTATTTACAGAAGCGGCTTCTGCTTCCAGAACCAACTCCAACTCTATTTATGGGTTATCTGCTACTTATAGTCCCCCTTAAGTAGATGGAATATGGCTTTGGGTATATTACAATAAGATCCCCATATACCTCATATTCTATCTACTTAAGGGGGAATACAACCCTGAACCCTAAACC